CGAATCGTTTGGCAGTTGTGACTCTCATGACGTTTGCAATGCCCGGTGGTCATATCAATCTTCGTCGCGCAATTCTTGCAGGCCGTGTAGATGGGATCCCCCAAGATGCCTGTGACCCAAACGCAGTTCAACTGCACTTCGATGATCTCTTGCTGTGCCTGACACCGGACGATGAAAGAAAGGGAAAACACGACAAGCAATCAACAAAGAAGGATTCCCAATCACACGGACTAATTCAGTTGATTACAAGCTAGTTCAGCTCAGCACAGCGGCCTCTAACATCGCATCCGTAAGCGCCAGAGAGCACGAAGATACAGTGGCGCAGCACGAAATGAACTTCTCCATGCCATCCGACACCATTCGACGTGAAGCAGTCTGGAGCCAAGGCACGGACAGCGCCTCACCCCGCGTGTCAGACAAAGCCTTCAGTTTCTCGACACGACTGCCCGTGGGATTGACATGCAAAGCACTGAACCAATTCCTGCTGCTATCCATCCAGTGCTCACAGCTCGCCTCGATGCCGGCAGGGATCTTCGACAACAAAGCATTGTCCACCTGTACCACCGAGCCAACATCGATTTCGTTGCCCTTGGAAACAAAACGCCCGCCCCAGAGATGCACAGCCAGTTCGCTATGAGACTCATCCTTCAGCCACAATGTCATCTTTTGGACTCTCATCGCTGGCGTCTCCTTCCGGGTCACCTTTCCAATGACATCCGCCCTCCCCTTCCCTTCAGAATGTTCCGCTAAAACACCAAAGTTGGACCTCTGCCACTCTCCCACTTCAGAATCTTCGCTGGTGCAACTTCATCGCACTGGCATGAGCCTCTGCCACTGGCGACACCTTCCCCTTGTTCGTGACATCAGCAGAGAAATCGGACAAAAAAGGCGAATTCTGCACTACAACAGCTTGCGTCAATTGGATGCATTTGGGCTGGTAAAACTCCTGGGCCCGCTTTCGAACACTGCCCTCAGAAGATCCCCGGATCTCTGCATAGAGTCCCTGTCCCTTTTGATCCACGAGACGAACGATCGACTTCCACCAGGTCCCCTTATCTTTTCCGGGCAACTGCTTCATTTCATGGTACACCGGACGCAAAACCACCATGACCATGTGGGTGTTGCTCTTCGTAATGCGGTCCAAAGTCACTTCTTGCAAAGACATGTTTTCAGACCGCGGTGACAAGAGGCCCGCGAATATGTGCATGCAGCAGCAAAGAAGGCAAGTGAGAAACAAATTATAACAGTGCGTGTTTGACATCGATTTTACGCTATGTTGCAGGAATCAATCGCTCTTGCACAAGCCGCGGTCTCGCGGACAGTCCCAACAGAAAACCGTGGCGTGTTTGACATTCTACATGCAACTGTTTTCGTTTTTGTTGACACATCTTGCTCGCACATGATGCCCAAATTGGTCAACAGATTTGAGCCTACACCGTGAAGCAATCAACGCAAACACCGTGAAAGGACAACATCTTGGCAAGGAAGTGCAAGCACACAACTAGAATTCACAATGAGCATCCACAAACAGCTAGTTTAAGTTCTTACATCTAGCTGCAAGCCAAATAAACACAGAGCCACGTGCAGCTTTTCTCTTCACAGGCACAGCTCTGTCAGCAAGGATGGAAACGTCGTTCCTACACGGACAGTTCCAACAGTAGGAAGATCTCAAAAAATCAAAACAAATCTTGCCAAAGCAAATTCGACCTCATCCATCACGTTTCTTCAACATACAAAGAAAACAACAGAGATCCTCGATGCCATAAGGCTCACCCAGCTCGAGGCTGATACGCCGAGCGCAATACGTCGCAACGGCATGCGTCTTGACAGGAATGCTGGAATCTCTCACTCCGGTGCCCATGGTGCTCAACAAATCCCAGTCAGCCGACGATTGATCGGAATGCAAGACCATGGCAAACATAAAAGTTCGAATGAAATGGACGGTGTTGTAATGCGAGGCAGATGCCGTCCAGCTGGCAGAGTACAAAGTGGAATCAAACCGCGCCATGATGTCGAAAAGGGTCTTGTAGCACACCTTGATTCCATTGCTTTCGATGCTCTCTTCAATGAGTACTGCAGCGCTTTGACACATGTTCTGCCATGCACCAGTTTTGACATCATCCACCAGATGCTGCCATTGCTGCCCACTTCCTCTACGCATTTTAGGGTTCATGGTCGGGTTTGGGAAAGCATCAGTTCGCTTTCTCTTGTGGCTCCGCAACATCAAAGAGCGTCCTTGATGGCAACATGCACACTTTGTCATAGAGGTCATGCAACCTCTTTCCAACATCCATCAAGTAACATTTGGCCTTGGCACGATCCAATTTGCACCAGCATCGAATTTGATTCGAAGCAGTGCATTCCAGCAACATGGTGACCGCAGTCATCGTTGGCCACGACCAGTACAGGATGTGAAGAAAACCTGCCAAGAACATGATGCTCCCAAGCGACAAGTTGGATGCTCGCAGCAACGTGACCGCGTCTTTCAAAGCAGACACATCAGCTCTATATCTCAAGCCGACAATCCTGTGCCCATTTTCGTCCTCTTGCTGCAAACATTCGCTCAACTCGGCCATCGCAACCGTTGCGGCTTCATCCACCGCGTCTGCTTTGTGCGGGCCATTTCGAAGCGACAAAAAGTTCACGCAAGCTTTATTTGGACAGCCAAAACTCTTCGACTTCACACGGTGCTCTCCCGTGCCAGGTGGACACCCGGCACAGATGGGTCGCCCCATTCAATGACAGTCCCGAACGAATGAATGACCGCAGCGGCTTGCATGCTTAGCCGAAACATATCCAAAAGCATGCACAAACCAACACAGACCCGAAATCAACGGATGTGTGCGCAAGAACGTTATGTTCACGCGGTGCAGCCATGAATGTGCATGCCGTCACTGTACCACACATGTTTCCAGGCAAACGGTTCTATGACGAATTCCGGGAATTTGATTCACTCCAAGAACAAACACATCCATCAAAAACCGAGGCCGGTACCAAAGTGGCGCAAGAGCATGCAAGAGCCACCTCGGAAATTGCAGATTGCACGACATGCTGTACATGGTCGTTGTCAGAATGCCATGTTGCCGTGGATGACATCATTTGCAATAGTCAATAGAGGTGCATGGACGCATTTTTCAGGACGCAACACACCTTCTGCGACCATCCACAGCACGGACAGTCCCTATCACTCTTAGAAGGTCGAGAAGCATCACGCTGCTTGCAATGAAAAAAATGCAGTGCGCAAAGAATCACGCTGCGTGATGCACGGACAGTTCCTATAGCATCACCGTCAGCAATATTTTTGCAACTAAAAAAAAACTACCACTTGGCACTCCTCACTTTCAAGGGCGTTTCCTCAACCAAGTCGACCAAAAGCTCGGCAGCCTCATAGCAGCATCCACGCACCGCTGCATGCAGTGGAGTGTCCCCGTAGCAATCCTTTGCCCTCATATTCGCTCTTGCATCCAGCAGCAGCCTGCAAGTAATCACATCATTTTCTTCCGCTGCCAGAAACAGAGCTGTCTGACCCCATCGATCGCTTGGGCTCACCGGTGCTGGAGCAGAAGTGCAACCTGCCGGCTGAAGTTATTGCACGCTGCGACATGCAACGCCGTTCTCCCGTATACATCTCTGGTCTTTGTCGACGCGGATGCCTCCAGCAACAGCTTCACCACAAAATCCCGGCCGCCTTGAGCTGCGAGATGCAACGGCGTCCTTTGCCGCTGCCCCACCCGCTCGGTATCGGCCATGGCTTCGACTAACAAGCAAACAGTCCTCCCTGCTCCTGCTTCGGCAGCGGCGCACAAAGGTGTCACACCATCAAAGTCGTCCTGGTTTGGATCCAAAGGCAATTGCAACATTTCCTCCACCGCCATTTCATTGTTTTCAGTGGCAGCCAAGTTCAATTCAGACATGACCACCGGATCATGAGTCACAAATGGCAAAATCACGAGCTGCACAACCAATGGTCCAGAGGCACAAGCAAACGTGTAATCGTCGCCGAGCAATGCCTCGTGCAAAAACAATCTCTGTCGATGTCGAGACATGCCAATTCCAGCGGCGATGTTGCCTTTAATCCACCTTACCGGTTTCCCTTCCACCACATCGGCTGGCAGAGACACGACCAGCTCACCGGAAGCAGAGTAGCATACGTCCATGGCGTCAAATCTCGAGATCTCACGGACAGCCCCTTCAGAAATCTCGAGAAATGCGACAACCTTTGGGGGTGTCTTGTCCCGCATGCCTACACTTTGCTCATGCTACATAGTACGTTGTTTCCCGCTGCGTGACTCTTGTCTTGTCCATGCCCATGAATGCCTACACTTTGCTCACATCTGAGCCCGTGAATGATTAGTTCACATCAATGTATGGAGCAAAGAGGTCAACATGGTCTGGGCAGGAAACAATGAATTCCCCAGAAGGAACGCAAAGTATACTCGCTGAAGCTCGAGACTGGGATCGTGACTCCTGAGCTTGTGACAACAAAGCACCATCCTCTGGAGAACGACCTGCAGGCTCAAGACTGAACCGCTGCTTCTCACCCTGACAAATTACAGAGCGAACTCTAAACATCTCTTTTTTCCATGACAATTCTCATATAAACAACTAAATAAGCTCGGTACCAAGCTGTACTGGAATAAACAACTAAATAAGCTCGGTACCAAGCTGTACTGGAATTAGCACATGTCGCGCTACTTGCACGGGTATGGGAGCTGCGCCTCACTGAGACGGCTCATGCAAGATGCAGCGTCACGCCGTGATATCCTCAGTGCCGCATGCCGCGTCTCAAATGCATGCATTCGTCTAGAATATATTTCGATTGACGACAATGCACCTCGCACAGAGATGCACCACTAACCTCTGTCTTTTTTTGAAGCAAGAGTCGCGAAGCGCGATCGTGCAGACGATGCCAGTGGAACTACGTTTTTTCCCCATTGCTCGGACAGTCCCTTCAACAATGAGTACTGAACGCAAGAGCACACTGCAACAAACATATGACACTACAGCGCATCCTGCGCATCATCTCGGACAGATTTGTTCACTTCAATCCAACAAGTGATCCATTGCCATCGAAACAAAGTCACGATCACAGCTGCTCGAACCAGTTGCTTGATCTCCTGTGCAGTCATTTTGAAGTCATGGAATAAGAGGTGTTTTTGCCAATGCTCCACATTCTGCACAGAAGGCCCGGCTCTTGGAAGCATCCAACAGAAAACGCCTTCGATCACATCGTTGAGATAATCTGGGCGAATCCCATAGTGAATGCGCCCCTCTTCTTCTTTTTCTCCGGGATAGAACCACTCGGCCTTCATGTGCTTCAGCAAAGCAATGAGGCGATCTGAAGTCGCAAAGTTGTAGGCACATTGACTTGTAGCTTCCCAACAGAAGGCTTTCCCAGTAGGCGTCTCTTGGTTGGCCCAAATAATTCTTTCCAGAGGCAGCATAGAATGAATAGTTCGCATCAAATCCTGCACATGCAGCACCAGTCATCAGGTGTCAAACACTTCAATTGAAATCATAAGCCAAATAACCAAAAATCCAATCTAAAAGCCCAAAACAACGGAAATAACATGAAAGCGAAAACCACCGGTTTCCAACGCAACTCCTGCGTGACCGAGTGAACATTCTGGTCCACAACGCCGTCTGGCAATTTGTGCTTTTTTTTTTGACGTTTTCCTTCCTTATTCTTGCCAAGTTCGAATCGTAGGTGGCCTTGTTGTGCTCTTTCCGCCAACGTCAGCGTCTCAAGCTTCCGACTGGACCTCGCAAAGAAACCTCTTTGACCAGCCCGAACCGAAAATTTTTCTGCAAGGTCGTGCAATCCTTGTTTCATGACTCCATTTTGCCACACGTCTAAATCCATGCAACCCAGCACTTCCTGCGCAAAATGCTGCAGTGAAGGATTGAAGCACTCCGATGTAATCCGGTTTCACAAAAAAAAAGCCATGCGCGAAGATGGGTGGAGACACTCATTGATAACCAAATAACTGCCGGAGATCTGTTTTGTGCTCTCGGGCCTAGTTCCGCCATGTCTTTTGCACACCGCCACGTTCGAGTCGCCTTTCTCCATCCATAGCTCTTTGGGCGCCGCCAAGACGACAACCCCCCATTGTGTCGGCTCTTCAGATGCAAAACAATGCAGCATCACCGTGCTTTGACGTCCTCTAGCAGTACTCATTTCAACCTTGCAAACCACCAGCGGCGATTCCCGGAGAAGTTCAACACAAATGGTGTCACCCCACGTGTCGATCTCTCTCGGAGGTGGAACCTCGTGCACAACAACAAAATTAAAGCACACACCAAAAAATAATCAGTACCATAATGTTGTAAATGACAATTTTTATCTCATTTCATTGTGGGAATTCCCATACAAATCCTCAAAAAAAGGCTCGGTACCGTGATGTTCCAAATCAGATATTTTACATTACTTTACTAAGGACGTTTGCACAAACTACTGCAAAACGAAGTCGGTAAGAAAAAATACCGTCAAAATTTTCCGTTTCGACCGCCCCAAAGCAAGCAGTCCTGCATACAATTCAGGTAACATACTCCGCGAAATTTCAAACTTCTTCGCAGCATACTCACCAGTGTAAAAACCAACATTCATCATATCTCTTGCAAGGTCCACCAGAATGCGATCAAGCGCCTTTCTCATCGTCTGCATCTTCTTATGCTCCGTGTCCAGAACACGACCCATGCATTGCTTCTTCGGCGGCGGATCCGAAGCATCCAACTCAGTCGACACAGGTTGCTCTGCATGTGGGGCATCAGCACCCGACATGGCATCCGAAGACGAACCAAGCGCCGGGCGTTGAAGTTCCATCTCCTGCAATCCACTCCCGGACAGTTCCAACAGAGAAGATGCAGAAGCAGGAACTTCGACTCCAGGCTCCTGGTCTATGCTCCCATCACAAAACTTCAAAAGGTCTGCTTCTGAAAAATTGCGTCCAATGTACTTCACATCCACATTGCATCGCATCACTGCTTGCGCCACCGGGTTCGACATCCCTTCAAAAGGGTGATCACGCCGAGCTTGAAACACATGCGGGTCTTCGTTTTTGAACTCTTCAACCTCCTTCAAATCTACCCCAGAGGGTCATTTCTGACTTAAAACCCCCCTATCTTCCAAAATCAGCATTAAAACCCCCTATCAGCACGATAGCCCCTTTGAAAATGAAGCCACAAAAACATGTAGAAACCACGTATTTGGTGGGTTTCCCCTTAGTCAAGGATTTCTAAAAATTGCTGGTGCAAAAAGAGCAAACTTTGCCACCACACATGTTAAACACATGTCACGACTTAGCTTGATCCAAAGGGGCTCCAGGGATGGTTTCTATAGAGGGTGGACGGGGCATGACGTAAACATAAACTATGTCTAGGCGTAAGTAACAACATATGTGAAACATAAACGAAACATATGTGGAACGCAAACGAAACATAAATGGAATACAATTGAAACATAAGTGACACATAAAGCAAAACATGTGTGTGAAATGTTGCACCATTCCTGTCAGGTTTAACTGAAGTGTTTTTGCACGTGCGATGCATTCCACATCAGTAATTCGATAAAGTGTTTCTGAGCAAGTGTGTGTAAAAGACAAGTTGTGTGTGTGTGTAAAAGCTTCTGTGGGTAAAAGTGTCTGTGTGCAAAAGTGTCTGTGTGTAAAAGCGTCTGTGTGTAAAAGCCTCTTTGTGTAAAAGCCTCTGTGTGTAAAAGTGTCTGTGTGTAAAAGCCTCTGTGTGTGAAAGTGCGTGTGTGTGTGTAAAAGCATGTGCGTGTAAAAGCGTCTGTGTGTAAAAGCGTTTGTGTGTAAAAGCCTCTGTGTGTGAAAGTGTTTGTGTGTAAAAGCGTCTGTGTGTAAAAACGTCTGTGTGTGAAAGTGTTTGCGTGTACAAGCGTCTGTGTGTAAAAGCTTCTGTGGGTAAAAGTGTCTGTGTGCAAAAGCGTCTGTGTGTAAAGGAGTCTCTGTGTAAAAGCTTCTGTGTGTAAAAGCCTCTGTGTGTGAAAGTGTTTGTCTTGGTGTTGTTTAGTTGTTTCCTGGTTGCCTTTGACCTCCTGAATTCGCAAATTTCTTTAGAATCATACATTTTCATGGATACAGAGCGGCGGGAATCCTCCAGTTACCGATTTTTTCTGGTTTGTCTTTTTTCTTGTATCTCATGACAAGGACCAATGTCCGACATGACAAAGGATTTCTGGCTGCTATGTCCAGGTGACCAATGCTACCAGCTGAGTGATGCTTTGCGGGCGGAGTATCAAGAACATTCGACTTCATTTAGAGGTCCAAGTCTTGTGGCAACTACTTTAACGTCGCAACCGTTTAACGTCGCAGACCTTTCCCGGGCCCAAACCGGGAACGGTGGGCTACTGGCCTCGGGTAGTGAGAGAATGAAGGTCGCACTACCCTTACCCGGGTTCAACCTGGTTTGGCCTTGGGTATAAGGAGAGTGTCGGTTGTAGTAAGCATAGTGTCAACGTCCCTTTGGGACTATCCTTAACACGAAAGACGCTCCCCTTACCCGAGTCTAACCTGGTTCAGACCTGGGTAGCCGGAGGGTGAACTTCGCACTGTGCTTACTCGGCACACGTTACCCGGATTTCTCATGTTTGTCGGAGGCCCGGATGACAGCTACAGCTACAGACACGGTGCACACACAGACACCTTCGCAAACTCCTGCGAGAAAAAATGATGCGAGCGCGGAATTATTCGATGCAGCCGGCCATTTCCCACATTAATTTTATTTCATTGACTGGTTTTCGGTTTCAAACCCTATATAGCCCCATGGGTTTAATCAGACATCCATTTAATATCTCAGATATTATAGTTTGGTCACTGAAGGATTCCCGAAACTTTGTACCCATCTTTAAATTAACATCTTGAAATTGCAAATTCAAGAGATCAAAGGCAACCAGGCAACTACTAAACAACGCCAAGTTGTGTGTAAAAGCGTCTGTGTGTAAAAGCGTTTGTGTGTAAAAGTGTCTGTGTGTAAAAGCGTCTATGTGTAATGCAGTCTGTGTGTAAAAGCGTCTGTGTGTAAGACTGTGTGTAAAGCCTCTGTGTGTGAAAGTGTTTGTGTGTAAAAGTGTCTGTGTGTAAAAGCGTCTGTGTGTAAAAGCGTTTGTGTGTAAAAGCTTCTGTGTGTAAAAGCGTCTTGTGTGTAAAAAAAGTATGTGTGTAGAAAAGTGTGTGTGTGTAAAAGCATGTGCGTGTAAAAGCCTCTGTGTGTGAAAGTGTTTGTGTGTAAAAGCGCCTGTGTGTAAAAGCGTCTGTGTGTAAAAGTCTCTGTGTGTAAAAGCGTCTGTGTGTCTGTGTGTAAAAGCGTCTGTGTGTAAACGCTTCTGTGTGTAAAAGCTTCTGTGTGTAAACGCTGCTGTGTGTAAAAGCGTCTTTGTGTAATTTGTGTAAAGGCGTCTGTGTGTAAAAGTGCCTGTGTGTAAAAGCGTCTGTGTGTAAAAGCGTCTGTGTGTAAAAGCGTCTGTGTGTAAAAGCTTCTGTGTGTAAAAGCGTCTGCGTGTAAAGGAGTCTGTGTGTAAAAGTGTCTGTGTGTAAACGCCTCTGTGTGTGAAAGTGTTTGTGTGTAAAAGCGTCTGTGTGAAAAAGCTTCTGTGGGTAAAAGTGTCTGTGTGTCAAAGTGCCTGTGTGTAAAAGCGTCTGTGTTTAAAAGCGTCTGTGTGTAAAAGCCTGTGTGTGTAAAAGCGTCTGTGTGTAAAAGCGTTTGTGTGTAAAAGCTTCTGTGTGTAAAAGCGTCTGTGTGTAAAAGCGTCTGTGTGTAAAAGCCTTTGTGTGTGAAAGCGCGTGTGTGTGTGTAAAAGAAAAGCGTGTGTGTGTGTGTAAAAAAGTCTGTGGGTAAAAGTGTTTGTGTGTAAAAGCGTTTGTGTGTAAAAGCTTCTGTGTGTAAAATTTGTAAAAGTCTCTTTGTGTGAAAGTGTCTGTGTGTAAAGGAGTCTGTGTGTAAAAGTGTCTGTGTGTGAAAGCGTTTGCGTGTAAAAGCGTCTGTGTGTAAAAGCTTCTGTTGGTAAAAGTGTCTGGGTGTAAAAGTGTCTGTGTGTAAAAGCGTCTGTGTGTAAAAGCCTCTGTGTATAAAAGCCTCTGTGTGTAAAAGCGTCTGTGTGTAAAAGCCTCTGTGTGTGAAAGTGTGTGTGTGTGTAAAAGCATCTGCGTGTAAAAGCGTCTGTGTGTAAAAGCTTCTGCGTGTAAAAGCCACTGTGTGTGAAAGTGCCTGTGTGTAAAAACCTTCTGTGTGTGTAAAAGCTTCTGTGTGTAAAAGCGTCTGTGTGTAAACTTTTCTGTGTGTAAAAGCGTCTGTGTGTAAATGCGTTTGTGTGCAAAAGTGTCTGTGTGTAAAAGTGTCTGTATGATTCTGTATGTAAAAGTGTTTGCGCGTAAAAGTGTCTGCGTGTAGAAGTGTCTGTGTGTAAAGGCGTCTGCGTGTAAAAGCCTATGTGTGTAAAAGTGTCTAGTGTCTGTGTGGAAAACCGTCTGTGTGTAAAACCTTCTGTGTGTTAAAGCTTCTGTGTGTAAAAGCGTCTGTGTGTAAAGGCGCCTGTGTGTAAAAGTCTCTGTATGTAAAAGCTCCTGTGTGTAACAGCTTCTGTGCAAAAGCGTTTGTATGTAAAAGGTTCTGTGTGTGAAAAACAATACGAAGGATACGATGCAAGAAAGGTATCGCCGCTGATAGCGACCCGGGGCCTTTCATCGCCACATTCAAACCTGCTTGTCTCCAATTCCCCACGTTTGGTATGTTTTCTTTCATATTGGAAGTTTGCACACATGCATTTTGTACATTTTTTTGCATAGGGGTATGTGCATCATGTTCAATTTGCAATGTCATGGCGATCCACGCCTCTCTTTCTTCTGCGGGGTCATGTTTTCGGACACTTATCCTCGATGCTTTGCAGCTCTTGTGGCCAATGCATCTGCCAGATTCATTTTCTGATTCCAGCGAAACTGAAAGGATCGCACATACTGCTCAAGCCATGCAGCATCTCTTGTGCCCAATCCTTCATGAGTGCTCAAATCTTTGGGCACATACTTTTTCAGATGGCGCCACGCCTGATCGAGCAATTGTGTTCCAGTGAACTTTCGTTTGCCTTTCACTCTGACCATCTTACTGACCTGCATCTTCACATGGACCACGTTGCGAAATGGCAGGCGAAATTTTCCGCACTCCGACCGCCAAGACTTGGCACCAACCCTATGTCCACCGTAGCGTGCACATCCGTCGCAACTTCAAACCAACGTCAACATGCCCCACCCCACCCAACCCTATGTCCACCGTAGCGTGCACATCCGATGCAACTTCAAACCAACGTCAACATGCCCCACCCCACCCAGCCCTATGTCCACCGTAGCGTGCACATCCGATGCAACTTTCATGCCCCACCCCACCCAACTATGTCCACCGTAGCGTGCACATCCGATGCAACTTCAAACCAACGTCGACATGCCCCACCCCACCCAGCCCTATGTCCACCGTAGCGTGCACATCCGATGCAACTTCAAACCAACGTCAACATGCCCCACCCCACCCAACCCTATGTCCACCGTAGCGTGCACATCCGATGCAACTTCAAACCAACGTCAACATGCCCCACCCCACCCAACCCTATGTCCACCGTAGCGTGCACATCCGATGCAACTTCAAACCAACGTCAACATGCCCCACCCCACCCAACCCTATGTCCACCGTAGCGTGCACATCCGATGCAACTTCAAACCAACGTCAGCATGCCCCACCCCACCCAATCCTATGTCCTCCGTAGCGTGCACATCCGATGCAACTTCAAACCAACGTCAACATCGAGCATGCTCCACCCCACCCAACCCCTATCAACTGATGTGGGTAGAAGCAAGAACAAAGAAACACTGACGGAGAAAACATGCCACCATGCCGAGCTAAAATGCAACCAACAGTTGTGGAACGAAAGCTTGCCGTCTGAGAGTCTGACCTGGTAGAGCAGCAGACTTTGAAGATATTGCTATGGGGTCGCTAACAGAGGCGTTAGCTGAAAGTGTAAAAGCCTCTGTGTGTGAAAGTGTGTGTGTGTGTGTAAAAGCGTCTGTGTGTAAAGTCTCTGTGTGTAAACGCGTCTGTGTGTAAAGCGTCTGTGTGTAAAAGTGTCTGTGTGTAAAAGCGTCACTGTGTGTAAAGGCCTCTGTGTGTGAAAGTGTTTGTGTGTAAAAGCGTCTGTGTGTAAAAGCGTCTGTGTGTAAAAGCGTCTGTGTGTAAAAGCTTCTGTGTGTAAAAGTGTCTGTGTGCAACGGAGTCTGTGTGTAAAAGCTTCTGTGTGTGTAAAAGCTTCTGTGTGTAAAAGCGTTCGTGTGTAAAAGCGTCTGTGTGTAAAAGTCTCTGTGTGTGAAAGTGTTGGTGTGTAAAAGCTTCTGTGTGTAAAAGCGTCTGTGTGTAAACGCTTCTGTGTGTAAACGCCTCTGTGTGTAAAAGCGTCTGCTTGTAAAAGTGTCTGTGTGTAAAAGTGTAAAAGTCTCTGTGTGTAAACGCGTCTGTGTGTAAAGCGTCTGTGTGTAAAAGCTTCTGTGTGTAAAAGCCACTGTGTGTGAAAGTGTCTGTGTGTAAAAACCTTCTGTGTGTAAAAGCTTCTTTGTGTAAAAGCGTCTGTGTGTAAACTTTTCTGTGTGTAAAAGCGTCTGTGTGTAAATGCGTTTGTGTGTAAAAGTGTCTGTGTGTAAAAGTGTCTGTATGATTCCGTATGTAAAAGTGTTTGCGCGTAAAAGTGTTTGCGTGTAGAAGTGTCTGTGTGTAAAGGCGTCTGCGTGTAAAAGCCTATGTGTGTAAAAGTGTCTAGTGTCTGTGTGGAAACCCTTCTGTGTGTAAAAGGGTCTGTGTGTAAAAGCTTCTGTGTGTAAAAGCGTCTGTGTGTAAAAGCGCCTGTGTGTAAAAGTCTCTGTATGTAAAAGCTCCTGTGTGTAACAGCTTCTGTGCAAAAGCGTCTGTATGTAAAAGGTTCTGTGTGTGAAAAACAATACGAAGGATACGATGCAAACTAGTGTCTTGAAGTCTTGTACTTGCAATATATTGTCTTGATACTACTTGTCTCGTCTGCCTATAATACATCTTTAATATATTGTCTTGTAATATAGTGTCTCAATACTAACAACAGAAGATTCTGCTCCTCTACGCTCTCGGGCCATCCGTCGTTTAGTTTTTATTATTTGGGGGCGAAACACACAAATGCTAGCTTTGTTTTTAAATTGTTTTCTAAAGGGGAGCAATTAAAGGTCAAATTGGCCAATCTGAGATTCTCCGAACTGGGAGATGGACCCTAGTTTTTAGTATTTGGGGTACGTTTAGTTTAGTAGTAGGAGGCAAGCATTAATTTATGAAAGGCTGTGACAGTTTTGCATAAAATTTCTAACTGTGACTGCCATCTTGCGAGGACTGGACCAAGTGGTTGCACTGCGTTCCCATCGTGGCTGGAAACTGTCGAGGAGAAGTCATTGAATGGAATGACAAGGTGCCGCATGCTGCCAGCCGGCAGCCGACCCAACGCATTACTGGGACCGTTTCCATCGAGTCTTCTGTTGGTAGGTGAAAAGAGAAGCCACGTTTGAGAGGATGAAACGGAAGGTCATTGTTTCACATGACTCCTGCTCACTTGCGGGGTGAATGCCATGGTAGTTCGGGATGCAGTTGCGACCGCGTGATATTGTTGGCAACTTTATCATACTGTATCAACATAGATGAAAGTCCGAAGGCAAATGAAGATAGCAGATGTGGCTCTGAGAGTAGCATGCGAAATATGCCGAGAGAGAAGGCCAATGGTTTGTACAGATCTGACCCTCAGGCAAATAGGTACCGCAGATAGATAAAGGCCGATAAAGGCAAAATTAATAGCTAAGTAGATATTTTTTGGACACACACACACACATATATATATATATATAGTGCCGGACAGTCAGTTAGAACATCATTTGGAAAACGTTTTTTTTTATGTCTAAAGCTATGTTTGGAACAGCCGGAAACCCTCACACTTAGAACATGGAAAACAGACCGTTTAGAACATCCCAGGATGATCTATTCACTTAACTATATCTATATGTACACAAAAGTTATCAATTAGCTGTGGAGACCCCCACACTTAGAACATCCCATGATGATCTATTGACATGTGACATAGCTATATTTATTTGCACACAAAAGTTAACAATTGGCTGTGGAGACCCCGCACTTAGAACAGCCCAAGACATTACAACATGTATATATATATATATATAAAAGGTCCTCTACCCACACAGAATATGGAATTGAAAATTTGGCTTCCCCGGGCATCCCAGGAATCGAACTTGAAAAACGATACTTAGAATATCTTAGAATACAATTGACGCCAAAAAACCTACACTTAGAATACCGTTGGACCATATAAATTCTTTCGCTTGTCCAGACGAATTCGTCATTTTTCCACAGAAATTCTTCACTTTTCTTTATATAAATCCTTCACGATTCCAAATCTTAGAATACAATTGACGCCAAAAAACCTACACTTAGAATACCGTTGGACCATATAAATTCTTTCGCTTGTCCAGACGAATTCGTCATTTTTCCACAGAAATTCTTCACTTTTCTTTATATAAATCCTTCACGATTCCAAACAAATTCTTCACTTTCCAAATTTTTGCCATATAAATTCTTCCGCTTTTTCAGTCAAATTCGGCATTTTTCCATATAGTTGCTTATTTTTTTTTCAAAATCCTTCACATGTTCCATACTAATTCTTCACTTTACCAGATTTCTTCCATATAAATTCTTTCATGTTTCCAGACAAATAGATAGGAAAACAAATCACAAGGTGTTTGGTGATAAAAATTAAAAACTGGCAGGGTCCCCAAATTGACCGATTTCTTATTACTTTGTGTACTAAAAAGTACATTTTTTCGCCACCCCATAGAGATGTATAAAGGCTTCGAGAGCAAAGGCCACATGTGGAGAGAAAAAACAACATGGAAATGGGGGAATAGTCTAAGTACATTTTCGGCAAATTTGCCTGTGCAATTGAAACATGCATATTCTATGTAAGCGGAGAAGCTTATATTTCTATAATGATCTATTGACATATCTACATTTATATGAACACAAAGTTATCAATCAGCTGTGGAGACCCCCACACTTAGAACATCCCAAGACATTACAATATATGTATTTTTCAACAATGATCTATTGACATAAACTATATTTAATTGAACACAAAGTTATCAATCAGCTGTGGAGAACCCCGCACTTAGAACATCCCAAGACATTACAATATATGTATTTTTTAAATTCTCTATTGACATAACTAAATTTAATTGAACACAAAGTTATCAATCAGCTGTGGAGACCCCCACACTTAGAACATCCCAAGACATTACATTTGTATATATATATATATTTAAATTATAATATTTTATTGACATAACTACATTTATACGATTACAAAGTTATCAATCAGCTGTGGAGACCCCCACACTTAGAACATCCCAAGACATTACAACATACATATATATATATATATATATTTATTTATCATGATCTATTGACACAACAGTTTTTCATACGATAACACAGTTACCAATCAGCTGTGGAGAACCCCACACTTAGAACAGCCCAAGACATTACAACATGTATATATATAAGGTCCTCCACCCACAGAATAGGGAATTGAAAATTTGGCTTCCCCGGGCATCCCAGGAATTGAACTTGAAAAACGATACTTAGAATATCTTAGAATACAATTGACGCCAAAAAACCTACACTCAGAATACCGTTGGACCATATAAATTCTTTCGCTTGTCCAGGCGAATTCGTCATTTTTCCACAGAAATTCTTCACTGTTCTTTATATAAATCCTTCACGATTCCAAACAAATTCTGCACTTTTCCAATTTTTTGCCATATAAATTCTTCCGCTTTTTCAGTCAAATTCGGCATTTTTCCATATAGTTGTCTATGTTTCTTTAAAAATCCTTCACATGTTCCATACTAAGTCTTCACTTTTCCAGATTTCTTCCATATAAATTCTTTCATGTTTCCAGACAAATAGATAGGAAAACAAATCACAAGGCGTTTGGTGATAAAAAAAAAACTGGCAGGGTCCCCAAATTGACCGATTTCTTATTACTTTGTGTACTAAAAAGTACATTTTTTCGCCACCCCATAGAGATGTATAAAGGCTTCGAGAGCAAAGGCCACATGTGGAGAGAAAAAACAACATGGAAATGGGGGAATAGTCTAAGTACATTTTCGGCAAATTTGCCTGTGCAATTGAAACATGCATATTCTATGTAAGCGGAGAAGCTTATATTTCTATAATGATCTATTGACATATCTACATTTATATGAACACAAAGTTATCAATCAGCTGTGGAGACCCCCACACTTAGAACATCCCAAGACATTACAACATATATACTTGTTTATAATGATCTCTTGACATCACTCTTTTTTTTGAACACAAAGTTATCAATTAGCTGTGGAGATCCCCGCACTTAGAACATCCCAAGACATTTCACATACATTATATATTTTATAATCTATTGACATAACTGCTTTTATATGAACAAAAAGCTGTCAATCAGCTGTGGAGACACCCGCACTTAGACCATCCCAAGACATTACCACACATATATGTATATTTAAATTTCTAAAATGATCTATTGACATACCTCTATTTGTAAGAACAAAAAGTTATCAATCAGCTGTGGAGACCCCACACTTAGAACATCCCAAGACATTACAACATGTATATATATATATAAAAGGTCCTCCACCCACACAGAATATGGAATTGAAAATTTGGCTTCCCCGGGCATCCCAGGAATCGAACTTGAAAAACGATACTTAGAATATCTTAGAATACAATTGACGCCAAAAAAACTACACTTAGAATACCGTTGGACCATATAAATTCTTTCGCTTGCCCAGACGAATTCGTCATTTTTCCATAGAAATTCTTCACTGTTCTTTATATAATTCCTTCACGTTTCCATACGAATTCTTCACTTTTCCAAATTTTTGCCATATAAATTCTTCCGCTTTTTCAGTCAAATTCGGCATTTTTCCATATAGTTGTCTATGTTTCTTTAAAAGTCCTTCACATTTTCCATACAAATTCTTTACTTTTCCAGATTTCTTCCATATAAATTCTTTCATGTTTCCAGACAAATAGATAGGAAAACAAATCACAAGGTGTTTGGTGATTAAAAAAACTGGCAGGGTCCCCAAATTGACCGATTTCTTATTACTTTGTGTACTAAAAAAGTACATTTTTTCGCCACCCCATAGAGATGTACAAAGGCTTCGAGTGCAAAGGCCACATGGGGAGAGAAAAAACAACATGGAAATGGGGGAATATTCTAAGTACATTTCGGCAAATTTGCCTGTGCAATCTAAAAAATCATATTGTATGTAAGCGAAGAAGCTTATATTTCTATAATGGTCTATTGACATAACTACATTTATACGAACACAAAGTTATCAATCAGCTGTGGAGACCCCCACACTTAGAACATCCCAAGACATTACAACATATGTATTTTTCAAAAATGATCTATTGTCATAAACTATATTTAATTGAACACAAAGTTATCAATCAGCTGTGGAGAACCCCGCACTTAGAACACCCCAAGACATTACAACATATGTTTTTTTGAAATGATCTATTGACATAACTAAATTTAATTGAGCACAAAGTTATCAATCAGCTGTGGAGACCCCCACACTTAGAACATCCCAAGACATTACATTTATATATATATATATATATTTAAATTATAATGTTCTATTGACATAACTACATTTATCGAAGGAAGTTTAGAAGTCAAACTTCCGACAATATGGACAGATGAAAAGCAGAACAGGGAAGAGGCAGAGAGAAGAGAAAGATTAGAAGAGAGAAGATCAGAAGAGAAAGAGTCAGAAGAAAGAAGATGCAGATGGGCGAAAAGGTAGGAAAGTCGCGAAACACTGTGTTTTTCCAATGATTTGTGGCTCCGGAGAGTCGAAAAGTAGGCTCGCTAAAGCGGCGGGTGCGGAGCCAGCTGGCCAGATGAGAGATGAAAAATTGCACGCCGTTGTGGCGCGAAGCACATTTCCAAGTCAAAATGTCCAAAGCACACCAGGTTCGGACCACTTTTGGAAGTTGAGATGTCGAAAAAGTGCACGCCGTTGTGGCGCGAAGCACATTTCCAAGTCAAAATGTACAAAACACCTCAGTGTCGGACGACTTTTGGAAGTTGAGATGTCGAAAAAGTGCACGCCGTTGTGGCGCGAAGCACATTTCCAAGTCAAAAGTGTTAAAAACTGACGGTCTCGGACCACTTTTGGAGGTTCAGATGTCGAAAAAGTGTCGAAAAAGTGCACGCCGTTGTGGCGCAAAGCACATTTCGAAGTCAAAAGTGTAAAAAAAATGAGGGTTTTGAGCCTTTTTTGACGTGAAGATGTCGAAAAAGTAGACACTGATTAACTTAACTAACTTGACTAA